GGATCGCAGGAGGTTGGAGAATCGTATCGAATCTTATCACTAGAAATCCCATGAATCGTGAATGTATCGAATCGTGGGCTGTGTATCGAGATGTGTATCGTATCGCCTTGGTAGTGAAGATTCCCATCCCTAATCACAATATATAGCAGCTAGCATAAAGCTAACCAGCTTTTCTCCTAAAAAAACAAACAAACAGCTGGTATAGAATAATTTAAACTACCTGTTGTCATTGCTAAGATCAGATTCAAAGTTTACCTTTAATGTCCACTTTTTTTTACTTTACTACTCTCACTGCGTCCTCTTTGAAAAATACTTATGTGAAAACCTTGGATATAGGCAGGCCATCTGTAACCTTAGAACAAATAACACTAGAATCCCTAAAGTCACTGGTTTAAAGGTATAAAAGTTTAGAGAGAAAGTTAAGATTATGTCAACTCTGTCCAGATAACTGTGTTGGAGATGAGTATCATGTTTTGTTTGAGTGTAAAAATGTAGAAATATGCCATTACAGAGAGAAGTATTTTCCAAAGTATTATGTGAAAAGCCATCGATGTTTAAAATGGTTTCATTATTTCAGTCTGGAAAAAAGAAAATAATTGGTAAGTTTTTTAAATGGGTCCTCCCATTATATCGATGATGTTATAGTTTTAATGTATATGCGTTACTTTGTTCTGTTATATTTAATGTTGGTGCTCCAAACCATGTATATGGTCATGAGCAATTAAATAAAATAATTGAATTTAATTGAATTGAATAAAATGGGTGCAGTACTGCAGAGTCTCCAGAAGGTGTCGCCTCTTCTATGTGAGAAAATGGAGTTGGCTGTTTCCCGTAGTTTGAGATCTGTTGGGCTTAATATTGATCCATAAATAAGAAGCGCCCGATTATAAGGCAGACTGTCAGTTTTTGAGAAAATTGAAGGCTTTTAGGTGCCTCATAGTGCGAAAAATACCGTATATATTTCTTTATATTAACTCATTGACTGCCTGCCATTTTCAGAACAGAGTCCCATACTGCCAGAGTCTTTTGAGCATTTTGACTGATTTTTCAAGAGCCACAGAATAGTTTGTGCTATGACTATGTAAACACCGAACACACCAAAAGAAAGAGTAGACTCTCTTCTTTCATCAAGAAAAAATATTTGTTTCTACCTTATTCCGTTCTTCCTGGACTTGCGTCTCACCGGCGACATGTTCTCTCATAGAACCGTTAGCTTTTTCTTATTTGCCTACAGTCTATGCTCATCTCCCATCAAAAGTGGCACTGCCCCCTAGAGGTTCAATTTGTTACTACATACTCTGTCTAGAAGCCCATATTTACGGACAAGCTTTAGCAGATCGTCCCCCAGACACTCTCGTTAAAAACATAAAAGACGTATATAGACGTCTTTGGCAGCCAATGAGTTAACTTGGACAAAATCTGATCAATATGAAATGTTGCAAGTAGCCTAAAAGTTGAACTCAGAAAAGCTAAGGGTTGATCTTATTCTCTTTCAGAGACGGTCAGATCACAGCGATCCTGGATCAGAAGAACTACGTGGAGGAGCTGAACAGACATCTGAGGTTTGTTAGCTCCGCCCCTTTATTCGTCTCTACTCTCTCTTTGCCTCGTGGAGCTAAACGACTCACTGGGTTCGGTTCCCATGTTTCTGTTCACAGCGCGTCTGTGAACAACCTCCAAGCAAAGGTGGACGCTCTGGAGAAGTCCAACACCAAGCTGACGGAGGAGGTGAGTCTTCAGCTTCTGGAACTGGAACTGAAAGTGAAAGAGGAAGTAGAAGTAGAAGTAGGATTAGCAGTAGAGGTAGAGGTAGAAGTAGAAGTAGAGGTAAAAGTAGAAGTAGAAGTAGAAGTAGAGGTATAGGTAAAAGTAGAAGTAAAGGTAGAGGTAGAAGTAGAAGTAGAGGTAGAGGTAAAAGTAGAAGTAGAGGTAGAGGTAGAAGTAGAAGTAGCAGTAGAAGTAGAAGTAGAAGTAGAGGTAGAGGAAGAAGTAGAAGTAAAAGTAGAGGTAGCAATATAAGTGGAGGTAGAAGTAGAGGTAGAGGTAGAAGTAGAGGTAGAAGTAGAGATAGAGGTAGAGGTAGAAGTAGAGGTAGAAGTAGAAGTAGAAGAAGACTGAATCTATGTACTGATCTCTGTTGTTTGCTTTTGATTCTGCAGCTCGCTGTGGCCAACAACAGGATCATAACTTTACAAGAAGACGTGGAGAGAGTAAAGGAAGAGAGCTCCTACCAGCTGGAATCCAGGAAGGTGAATTTTAACCATTTGCTGTGACTTAATTTTTATATTTCTAACACAAATATGAGCCAAATTAAACACTCCAGAGTAGGCTGGTCCCGATCCGATATCTGGATTGTATCGGCCGGCAGCAGAAAATGCAGATCCAGACTCCAGA